AAAGCCGGGCCACACATGGAGAGCTCTCCAGGGTTCACAGCCCTGGTGGCAAACTCTGGTTTGTCACTAATAGGCCGCGGTGGGGTGTACCTAATCGTTGCACAGGAGAATTGAACTAGCAGTACCTCTAGTACTCTGGTTTTTGGGGTGGTCGCTATGAGGTCGCTTCATTGCGAAATCAAATGCCAGTGGTCGCACAGCTGGCACGTTGCCAAGACCAGTACCCAAATTGATAGTAGTATATTTGCTCCCGCTGTTGCCAGCAAAATCCACCACACAACTTGCGGACCGTCCGGTGCAGCCGAAGTCAGCACAGACTTCAATTGATGTTGAATGCGACGATCTAGTGGCTAGTATCGTACCATCGAGTCAAGATAGGAGACTAGGTTCCTGCAGCTACATCCGCATCTGCATGGGCACCCCAGCTGTGTAAGTGACCCTAGTAACCTGCTCCTCGGAGATCGGCCTCGCCAACTCCCTGTTTGGTGGGTGAGACGTGAGACATTGTAGCAGATACGATGAGAAATCGTCGTCATCAGCAAAACTTTATCCTTCTCACAGCCACTACTTTCCAAACGGTCAGCCAGTTCTCTTTCTGTATATAGTAGTCAATTTATTTAGTACTTGACCGGTGTTCACAGTGGGAAAGACTAGTGGAGGCCATAACCAATGTAGTAACCAGGAAATAGTCGGCTCAAAGGTGTGGTAGTAGAAAGAGAGCAAGTCCAATCATGCCGGGAGGAAGAGATGGAAAAGACGAATTTCCAGTCAAAGCAGACAAACGAAACAAAGGACGTGACTCAATCACCTGATCTCTTAGGAAAATGTCACACTGCCATGTTGACCATGTCCCTGTTCCCTTGACTTCGTTTTCGGGAAAAAAAAATTTGCCGTCTATTCCTTCTCTCACTGCTCACAGTCTAGGGTCCAGCTCGACATTTAAGCTGACATTTACTCCAATACCTATGCTTGCTAGGGCCCCAACTAGGCCCAGCAAGGTCCGAGAGTCACCTTTTGCCATACTCAGAAGCCATTTTCGACTTCTTGCACGGCTGATCACTTTCTCAAAATGTACATGATCTCCGAGCGTTGGAAACGATTCCTCCCATACTCCTCATCCATTTCGACCCAATGACCTGCTCACTATCTACGCTATCGAACGATGTCAGGCTTAGCCTGGGAGCGATGATGGCCATTTGGGGAAGATGCTTTGTGGAATGCGATATGCCGCAACGCTCGTTATCCGGCTCCGAAAACAGCCTGACGAAAAGACTACAAAAAGGTATGCTATATCAACTAACATCAAAGGGTACGATTGTCAGAGAATGAGTAACTGTTGCTGTGAGGAAAATTTGATACTATCTTATATCCTGTTCAAGGATCTCTTCCCAGGTTGGAGACCAAATAGCAACTTACCGGTATGACCCGGGATATTGATTCGGTCGGGCCCCCTCTTGCACATCATGGACAGGTCATCAACGGCCCTGGGCAACCTTTTTATAATTCTCCAACGCACGGTCTCGACTCTCAGAATGATCCACTATCGGCCTTGGATAGCCATTCTTCTCAGCAATATCCCCGGCCCCTCGGCCATATGGGTCATGGACTGCCGCGCCCTCAATCGCACGTAGCTCCGGCACCCAAAGACGAATATACTCCCCTTCTGGATCGAACCGCTCACTTTGGCGCAGAGGATTAAAGATCCGGAAATATGGTTGGGGATCAACCCCGGTACTAGAACCGAATCCCCAGCCACCGTGGTTCGAGGCGAAGTCGCCGTCTATCAAGTTTTCCATGAAATATCGCTCCCCTCGACGCCAATCTATCAGAAGGTCTTTGGAAAGAAATGATGAAACGACCATGCGCGTGCGATTGTGCATCCAGGCGGCGTGTTTGATTTGGCGCATGGCGGCGTCGACGATCGGATAGCCAGTTTTGCCCTCGCACCAGGCATTGAAGTGATCTTTGTTATATGACCACGCTAAGTTTGTGAACTCAGGTTTGAAGCACTTGTTCATACTGTACGATGACTGGTCAGCTTTATACGGATAGTCAGTCAAAATGGAGAAAACGAACCAGATAAATGGCCAATGGACCAGGACATGCTTGTAGAAATCTCGCCAGGCAACTTCGCTAATCCAAGACGTATATCCGGTCTGATTCCTTTTTAAGTGGCCTTTGTTCTTTTTGCGGGCCTGGAAAACCGCTGTTCGTGCACTGAGTGACCCCGACGCGAAATAGGGACTTAGCACGGATGTATTCCGCCCCGCGAGTGTGTTTCGCAAGTCATCATAGTCATTTGCTTTCTCCTCCAGAAACGCCTCCAGCCTACGGAGTGCCTCATGCTCGCCCTCTGGATACAGCTCCCTGAATCTTGTCTTTTCTTCCTCCGAGAGCCGCTTGTTCTCCGGTGCAACAGGCACCTCGCAGCCAAAGAGGGTCTTGAAGTGCTTGCGTGCATCGCCGGGGTTCGACCCTGGTTCGTCCGCGACCTCAAGGTATTCTGGGTTCTCATTGAGGAAGGCACACCAGGCGCGAAACCACGGACTATAAACGGCATACTGCTTCCCCTGTTGGCTGACTAGCTTGCCCGGAGTGACAACGCATGTATCATGTGCGGCTTCAAATCGTATGCCATTCCTTGCGCAGAGTCGTACTAATTTCGCCTCGCGACGCAATTCGTCGACTTCATATTCCAGGTTTGCAAAGAGGTGAGTCGCGCCCCACTCCTGGCATAGATCTATAATCCTTTGAGGAATATCATTCCTCTTTTCCTGCGTTTCCATATACAAAGGAATATCCAGCTCACTCAAGTCTCGCCGCAACAATTCTAGTGTTCGCAACATCAGATCCACACGAGGAGCACTAGACAAATGAGCTGTCAGGTCCTCCGGAGAGAGAATATACAAGCCGACGAGAGGCAGTTTGTGTTCTCGCGCAACCTGATATGCCATCTGTAGGCCGCGATTGTCATGTAGCCGAAGATCTGTTTTGAACCAGTGAACGACGGCTGCATTGGGCCGGATTTTTTGACGTTCATCAAACGTGTCTTCGTATGCCCTATGTAGGGATTCGATGGGTCGTTCCAGCGTTCCGTTATTGTACGCCTCGCACCGTTCGTTGCACATCTCAGGGGGGTAGAAGTCACGCAGGACGATACCGAAGTCTTCGGTATCTTTGGCATGGGGATGCGGACGCGTAAGATCGGGCTTTTCGCGTTTATTGGTGTGCGACGAGGCACCATTGGTGGCAGAACTGCTTGATGCCTTGCGCTTTTGCGGTGGCATAGTGCTGATTAGCGTTACGAAGGCGCGATGAAGAGATGCGATCCTGTCGATGAAAACTTTTTGGATGTTGACAAGTGGTCGGACGCGCAAACCCTGAGAAAACATTCCGCGATTGATTTTCAAAGGGCAATGAGAATGGCAGGGTTTCGTGGAGCTCTGGGGTTAGATCGATCGAAGATCTGGACCGCGTCAGGGACGCTGACGTCAATACCCGGGAGATTAACTATCTCAACGGAACAACGTCCCTGAGCCGGGATCTGTTCTAGATCTCGCTCAACAGTGCTTCGATTATTTCAGGCTACCTTGACCCATTCTTGCAAGACATTTCGTGGTCCAAATCGATGATGGAAAGGGTTTTGGAGAGATATGGTCACCTTGACGCCAGCCATAACACTCCTCGCCAAAGCCACTTATCCACCATGCTGCTCGATCAATAGGTCGCCTAAGCAAGCAAATTGGTGAGTGCATCGTTCATAATCCAACGGTGCTTTGATAGCTATGATGAAGCAAGCGTTCGGTGGTCGTCTGGGGATGCAAGTGTTTGTACCCCGGACAGAAACCGAGTCCACTACCCCATGATTAACTATGATGGCGATGCTCATAGTAGGCTGAGAAGCATATCTGGACAGAAGGAGTACTCCGTCCGACCAGACATTGTACCATTCTCAAGTAAGGCACACCTGCGACTGAGTGTCTGAATGATCCATATGCAGTCATGCATGCATTGGAATACAACTAGGCAAGCAAGGTAACTGGTGGGTTGGTAGTTTAATGCACCTGAGGTTCTAACCTCAATGCCTCTTGCCTTTTGTGCCTAATAGCAGTTCATAGACGGGACGCTGGATCCGCTCAGAATTTCCTGCTAATACAGGGGCATCTCGAGGAGAACCCACACGCTTGAACGATGAAGTTTATGGAAGGTCCCAGGATAATTAAGATGCTCCACTCCGACGTGGGAATGCAAACAGCATTGAGTAGTGCCTTGTGTCCCCCTGATAAACAGGATTGGGGAAAGGCATAGATTATACGGAGTACATGGTGATTTGCGGGACTACCCGAAGAGGCAGGAGAAGCCAAGGGTAGCAGTGGTGCCTGAGGCCGACAGGCAGCAGGTGTTGTGACTTTCCGTGTGTACCCCGCCAAGCGTGGCAGAATGAAGATTTTAACCCAACAGTAGGATGAGCTCTTTCTGAACAGCAGACAAAAAAGGCATATGTGATAGTGATCTATCTAATTAACCAGTGCAACTTTACACCCCGCTTCCCTGACATCCACTGTACAATCAACACATTATAGGACGTGCCGCCCTTGATGCACGCCCTACCAATGGCACGGCGGTTTGGAATCTGATGGAAAGAGGCTGAATGAAGGACTCTGAGCTACCCCCCCAAAGCGGACCACGTCAACCAAATTCAAAAAGCACCCGTGGCATCTTCTTGCCTAACACTCTCTACTCCACCACTGGTGTTTGGCAAGCCAGTGAATACAATCAGTGTATGTCCAGCAGCTGTGTTTGGAAGTGCAAACCCTTGAAGATATCTGCATTCAGCCCAGTATTTTGGTTGCTTCTGTTCGTCCCCGTGACTACTAGCACGTAGATGGCTGCGCTATTCCTCTTCTGCTGGGGCTTGTTCTGGCATTAACTCCGATAATTATCTCCGAATACCCAATCGTTATCTCCGAAGGATATCATTCACGTTCGTGATACCTGCCATGTCAATGTTCAGGTCTCCTAGGGAGGTATCGTCCTCGGATACGTCCTCGGACGCATCATCGGACGAAAGTCAACATGATATGTCTACGGCAGACTGCGTGCCCACCCAAGGTACACAGCAGAATAAGGAAAATGGCGTTGATGAATCTCGTCTCCTCCAGGACAATGCCCATCAAGACCATGAGGCAGATTCCGGCACTGTGTTGGAGGGTGATACAAAAGGCCATTCGAACATGATGACAGCCGCTCTTCTCGAATTCTACTGTCTTAGTCGGGCGGCAGACATCTTAAACAAACAGGCGGGCTCGAATGGACGGTACACGCGTGATTCGCCCGAAGTGCGATATCTCGGGAACCAGTTGTACACGCACAAGTCTGCATTCCTGTCTTCGCTAGGCGCGTTGTCTCAGGGAATCGAAGGAGATGAATGGGGAGCGACAAGACAATATTATCGCGACAATCTTGATATGTTGGGCATGTCTATGCTAGATAGACTCAAAATCAATGATGTCGGTGGACAGCAATCTGGAATCACAACAGCATCCGATGCAGGCCCGAGCTCAGAGCAAACCAAGGCTCTCCAGCTGTGGCCAATTAATACAAAACTGGACATGGTGCAGGCCGGACATAGTCGTGCTGGACTGCCAGGCGGCCAAAAGAGACTAGTTGGCCACGAAAACGTCCATACCTCACGAAATTTTCCATTTGATCTCACGGCCTTGCTTGACTCGCCGGTGCACCTTCCAGGAAGCTCACCTGTTGGCCTGCCTCTATTTCAGCCCAAACCACAACCCCCAAACAGTCATCTGTCGCGGTATGTCATGGAGTTTACTGAGGTCAAAATCCTCGGCCGTGGCTCATTTGGCGAAGTATATCATGTCAAAAATCATATAGACGACCAGGATTATGCAATCAAAAAAATCCCCCTCAGTCAACGACGGCTTCAGCAGCTACAAGGTGGTAGCCAGAACCAGCTGGAAAAGATTATGAAGGAGATTCGAACACTTGCTCGACTCGAGCATACCAATGTCGTTCGATATTACGGCGCCTGGGTGGAACAGTGCCACGCTTCCGGTTATGCTGCTTCTCTGCACGAGCGGTCTGATGATATCGAATCTGCACAGATGCAAAGCTACACTTTTAGCCGGGAAATGACAAACAGCCAAAGCTTTGGGATCGTTTTCGAGCAGTCAGAAACTTCGACTGTATCACACCAGACATTACCATTGGACCTTGAGTCAAAGCCGTCCAGTACATACCATCGCCGTCTAAGTCACGCCAGTGTGGGCAGCCACACTTCGAAGGCAACGTCTGCCCATGACACCGGGGATGATGATGAAATAGAGTCCATTCCACGCAACTTCAGCCTCAACTCACAAGAACCTCTGTCTACCTTCGGTGGCACCGACGATGATATTTTCACGGATGGCCTCAGCGAAGATCCTTCCAAACTGCAAATTCAGCGGAAGTACCGAAGCGCAGCTCAGCTTCCCGCCGTTGTTCTACACATCCAAATGTCATTACACCCCATCTCGCTGAGCTCTTACCTGAACCCACAACCAAGTGCAAACACGGAGCATGACAAATCGCTCCCACGGCGCCACTGCTACCATCTGGTGCCTTCTCTAAAGCTAATGTTGGATATAATCTCCGGAGTTGATTATCTTCACTCCAAGAAGATAGTGCACCGCGATCTGAAGCCAGCTAATATCTTCCTCTGCGCTCCGGACAAGAAACAACTGGATGGATGTTCTCCCTGTACAAGCGTACATGGGCCAGTCTACAGATACTGCCATCCTCGTATTGGTGACTTTGGGCTTGTCGCAGATATTTCGCACATCAACGACTGTCCTCCAGAGGGATCGTCCACAATGCCACAAGACGCAGAGATCCACACCGTCGTCGGAACCGAATTCTACCGTCCGCCTATTCACGCCAGCAAGGCAGGAGTGGCTGAATCCCCAGGTCATAATACCAAACCAGCATCTGTGTACGTCATTGATGAGACCCTCGACGTATACGCGCTGGGTGTCATCTTGTTTGAACTGGTATATCCACTGAACACTAAAATGGAGCGCCAGCTCGTCCTCACAGGGCTCACCCGAGGATCACCGGGACAAACGTCAACCACATCTATTTTCCCAGGAGACTTCTCACAGAAGCTTCACATGGGCTCTATGGCCCTAGCTGATGGAACGTCGGTCGCCGACCATCTGATGACGTGCATAAGGGGCATGTTGGAGCCTGATCCGCAACAGCGCTGGCGCTCACCGCAGATTAAGAAGTATCTGGAGGAGCTTCTTTCTCAGGTGCAGGGCCTAAGCTAGACTCATGGTGTATAAAATGGTCTCCGACTGTTGAAATTCGGGCTAGGTAATAAACTAGTAACTAGATTAGTTGGCGTTGGCGATGTACAAATGTTCAACAACATACTGGAGACCTGGAACTTGTGTGTCGATTAGCGTGAGACAGGAAACGGGACCATGTAAATTATCTAGAGGCGAGCATAGCGTTGTGTACCAAATCGGATAGATCGCACATTCCCTGCATGTAGTGACACCGACTGTTGTAAAGTGGTGAGAGTCACTCCGTAGACAGCGGCGAACTCCCCGACCGCCACAACAAGCAGGGCCTCGGCGATGCTCCGACCAGCCCGAACCCCTTCTCCACCACCTCCAACTCGTGGGGGTTGCAAACCAAGTAGATTCATCTCTTCTTCAATTCATGACTGTACGTTCTAGTATTCACCCATACACTGGCGTAAGAACAACCACCGTGTCTCAAGATGATAGAACGGCAGAGGAAGGGGGAAGGCAACTTTTCACACATTGTTGGGTGTCTGCTCTCCCAGCAACCAGCCAAGCATAAAAAGCAAAGAAAGACTCACTGGGATGCGGCTACTGCGTCACCCCGCAACGATGATATGCCGAAGCACGCGGGCGATCAGTTCCCCGACCGCGGCCTCTCCCCGTCCATACAACGGCGGTATATATATCAGCGGATTCCAGACCTTTGCCCATTCAATCCCTTGCGTTTGCCTATCTTGTGCACGACGTTTCACCCCGAGCATTCCCCCATACCAGTGACCTCCATCGCCTTAATTGGTGAGATTCGACAGTATATCGGATTAGCTGCGAACTTCCATAGAATTACAAGCTCGATAGGACAAAAATGGCGAAAGAGAAGCAGTTGTCTGCACAGCAGATCTCTCAACACAAGACGCCCGACGATTGTTGGATTGTGGTCGACAATCAGGTATGGGATGTGACGGACTTCTTGGAAGAGCATCCGGGTGGATCTTCAAGTAAGATTGCAGCGCTACAGCTCCTAATAGTTATCTAGAACGATATATACTGACACGTTCTTCTAAGTTATCCTCAAGTACGCGGGACGTGATGCCACCAAAGCATACTCCGAAGTCCATGCTCCGAGTGTCATCAAAACTCAGCTACAACCAGAGCGAAATATGGGAGTGTTGGATGAAGCGACAATCAGCGATGATTGGGTGAAGCAGCCGCCCACTGAGAATCCACCTCTGCTCCTAGAGAATGAGAAGCCACCCCTACACACCCTGATAAACTCCCACGACTTCGAATTGGTAGCATCGAAAACTGCCAGCAAGAAAACGTGGGCCTTCTATTCCAGTGCTTCAACGGACCTTATCACGAGAGATGCGAACAAACTCTGCTTTGACCGCATATGGCTGCGACCGAGGGTCTTAAGGAATGTACGATCAGTCGACACGAAGACCAAGCTGCTTGGAATCGACACCGAACTCCCGCTGTTCGTTAGCCCAGCAGCAATGGCGAAGCTCATCCATGCGGATGGTGAGTTGGCAATCGCAAGAGCTTGTGGAAACAAAGGCATTTTCCAAGGGGTATGCTTGCTCGCCATTCATCTCCTCTGAATGTTTTCATCATCGCTTCTTCCATTCTGATTCCTTATACAGGTCTCTAATAATTCTTCCTATCCTCTCGACGACCTGCGCAGCGCTGCACCTTCGGTGAACATGTTCTTTCAGCTCTACGTGAACCGCGATCGTGCCAAGTCCGCTGCTCTCCTCCGCCAATGCTCCGCCAACCCCAATGTCAAAGCTATATTTGTAACGGTTGATGCCGCCTGGCCCGGAAAGCGCGAAGCAGATGAGCGCGTGAAAGCCGACGAAACGCTGTCAGTCCCGATGGCACCATCCAAAGCAAAGAATGACAAAAAAGGTGGCGGCCTGGGACGAGTAATGGCAGGATTCATTGATCCGGGATTGACCTGGGAGGATATGGTGTGGGTGCGGCAGCATACACATTTGCCCGTATGCCTGAAAGGTGTCATGTCGGCTGACGATGCGATCCTTGCCATGGAAGCCGGGCTCGATGGCATTCTGCTAAGTAACCATGGCGGACGGAATCTTGACACTAGCCCACCTTCTATTGTCACTCTATTGGAGCTTCATAAGCGGTGCCCGGAGATCTTCAATCGGATGGAGGTTTACGTCGACAGTGGTATCCGGCGGGGAACTGACATTCTTAAGGCAGTGTGCCTGGGCGCAACGGCGGTTGGAATGGGACGCAGCATGCTCTTTGCGACTAATTACGGCCAGGAGGGAGTGGAGCATTTGATTGACAGTAAGTGCTTTTCATTCTGTTTCCTTCTGTACACACATGAATACTCGCGATCCCTACTTGCTAACAGCATACATCGTCAGTAATGAGAGACGAGCTAGAGACAGCTATGCGTAATGTAGGGATTACTAGCCTCGACGAAGCTGGTCCCCATTTAGTCAACACTGGAGACATAGATCACCTGGTCCCCAGCTCGGCCACCCATCCGTATGCGCGGATGGTAGCTAAAGGCCGACGTCCAATTGGACCTAGGCTTTGATATCGATGCTATTTGTAATGGGTCATTATACACTTCGATGAACGCAAGAATACAAGCATGCAGTTCAGCTGGCCAACAGCAATGATGGCAGCCTCAAGCCACGGATAACAAGGCCTTTGATTAGGTAGCACTCATCTGATAGTCAGACAATCTCGCCAGTCGAGCATGCTCGCGTATCATCACGAGATGGATCAAATGATGGCAATGGTCTAGACGGAGTTGACATAGAAACAACAAGAGCAATATGATCCACAATTGTTTCCCTTCGCATCTCCATTCATAACTGCCATTTTCTATCCCGGAAGTGGCACATTGCTGGGATGATCCTCAATGGATTAACTGATTCCGCATACTGATTAGATGCCTATGTCGCATGAGCACTTGCCCGTACTGGTAGTCCGTTCTTCTGTCAAGGTAATACTTGTTTCTAGGCAGATGACCGGTTCTTCATTTCGACCACTACTTGGCATGTCGGCACTTAATCAAGTGGCGGATGAAGTCAAATCCATAGCAGGAATAGACCTATACCCAGCAAGCACCATTTATGAAGCTTTATGAAATATCTTCACTTTCGCAGCGCCACTCCCCACAACTGACTCGAGACGCGAGGAGAGAGACGACTGGAGATCGGGGGAACCGGTGGAGACGGGCCCGTTTTTGGGATCATCAACTTCCTGTCATCTCGCTTAGCCGCTGGCGTGTTTCTACCCGGCGCCAAACCCCAATTTATCTCCGGCAGAGTACAACTTCATCTTATCCATTCGATCTGTCAAGCTTCCTGTCCATCCCGACCTCGTATGAGGGATCCGCCTTGAGCGCATGGCGACTCTATCGACATCCTTCATGGTTCTGCCAATCTGCAGCCCTCATAACTTCTGAAACAGCCATTCCTGAGCAAGGCCATTGGGCTGCTTCGACCATAGATCCTTTCATCAAACTGGAACGGATCTGGAGATGACGGAAGCTTCGCTTAGCTTGATCAGTAGTCAAGCAGTTTGGCAGAGCTGATCATCCGAAAATTGTTAAATAGCATGAACGGCTCTCGAGATGATTCTTTTCTACAAGCAGATCGTTCTCTTCCGACTCGCCAGTCTTTCATTCTTTTCACTTTGTGAACTTCATTGATTGAAGTCTTTCCATTCTTTTGTCATTCTTTAGAAATTCCGCTGTGCGTGAATCAACATAAAATGCCTCTTTCTAAGATCGCGGGAGTCCTGCTGGCCTCAGCTTCCCTTGTGGCCGGACATGGTTATGTGTCGAGCATCGAGGTCGACGGCACTACTTACGGTGGCTACCTCGTTGACACCTACTACTACGAGTCTGATCCCCCGGAGCTGATTGCCTGGTCCACGAATGCCACGGACGATGGCTATGTCTCTCCCACTCAATACGACAGCTCCAACATTGTCTGCCATCGTGGCTCCGCTCCCGGTGCCCTCGCTGCTCCGGTTACTCCGGGTGGAACTGTCAAGATGACCTGGAACACTTGGCCTGATGACCACCATGGCCCGGTGATCACCTACCTGGCCAACTGCAACGGCTCTTGCTCTGACGTCGATAAGACGGCTTTGCAGTTTTTCAAGATTGATGCTGGTGGCTTGATCGATGATTCCGAGATTCCTGGTACCTGGGCTACCGACAAGCTCATCGATAACAACTACACCCGAAGCATCACCATTCCATCTGATATCGAGGCCGGAAACTACGTTCTTCGCCATGAGATCATTGCCCTGCACGGTGCTGAGGACCTGGACGGCGCCCAGAACTACCCCCAGTGCATTAACCTGAACGTCACCGGAAGCGGTACTGCCACCCCAAGCGGAACCCTGGGAACTGCATTGTACAAGGACACCGACCCCGGAATCTACATCGACATCTGGCAGAGTATCAGCAGTTACACCATCCCCGGCCCGACCCTCTACACTGCTGGCAGCACTGCCACCGCTGCTGCTTCTTCTGCGACCACCACTGCTGCAGCCACCAGCGCCTCGACGACCGAGGCTGCTGTTGTGACCTCCGCTGCCGCGTCTTATGCTAGTGCCGGATCCCAGACGACCATGGTCACCTCCTCTCGTCCTCAGCCCACTGGCAGCTCCGGCAGCTCCTCCAATGTTGGTAGCTCTGGTAGCACCAACAACCAATCCGGCAGTGGTTCAACGGCAGGCGGACAGTTTGGTCAAACCCAGCCTGGCATGGCAGGATCCGACAACACCAGCCCCTCCGATTCGGCCTCTACCCCCACCAGCTCCACCCCCAGCGTTGCTTCTAGCTCCGCATCTTCGGCTACTTCGGGCGTCTTGAGCGGCTCCTGCAGCCAGGAAGACTACTGGTACTGCAATGGCGGCACGGCGTTCCAGCGTTGCGTCAACGGCGAGTGGGACGCATCTCAGAGCATGGCTGCGGGCACTGAGTGCACTCCTGGAATCTCGGAGACGCTAACCATCGCTGCATCTTCGAAGCGTCGTGATTTTAGCGGTCTTCGCCGTCGCCGGCTGTGAAAAAGTTTACCGGTGTCTCAGTAGTGGTGTGATAAGGGATCTGTGGCATACGGGACGTGCATTATCTTTCTCTTCATGTGTATATTTACATTACCTTGACCAGCTCTAGAAGCTTTGACAGTAGAAGATATTGAGCTGAATAACATGCGTGCAACGCAAAATCCGTTCCTTCGTGTATCGTCTCAAGATGATTGTAGTCTTTTTCTACATCTATAGACCCTTGGTTTCTTTTCTTATCTACATTGGGAGACCAGTGGTAGTGATTTAGGCTTTATAATCACCCAAGAAAAAGAAAAAAAAAATAAACTTGCAAAACACATGGAGAGAATCTCACCTATGTTTTCAACAATAATATTCACTGCACTTGCCACAGCTAGCTTCGTTGACAAAGGCATCGTGGACGCTATAACAAAGTTAAGAATCGCATATACCAACTGGATCTTATATATATAAGATCAAACTAGCCCCATACCTCTTTCAACGACAACTCGACATATTTGTTGATAAAACTTTAATAACATGCAAAATAATCTGAACATCCGGACAATGTACTATCTAGCAGGTGCTGTCAGAAATATACATTTTATATTACGTTCGCTCCACAGCCGTAGAAGAAGCTGTAGAAGAAACTGTGGCTGTACAATACCTTGTAAGAATACCAAGCTTTTCTTGATAAAGTTTAATAAATACTGCTAGCAGATAATCTATTTAAAATAATTTATTCTTGATCTGTTCTGTCTTTTGTGCCTTGGTATAGGGTTTCCTGCAACAGTTTGGGGGGGGTGGTTGAAAAGGGAATGGGATAATGATAAACCTGATGAACGACCTGCAGATAAAGCAAGTTTTATGCCCCTGGCGAAGAATGTGACAGCCTCAACCGAGCACGGGTCTACTTCAACAGCTGTAGAGTATCTAGTGGAGACATATGGAATCATGAGAAATGTGGAGAGAAAATGGGGGTACAATTCGACTGCTGCTAAATGCGGATGACGTGAGATAGCTGCCTCCTCGTTAGGGCCGTGAAACTGAGGGCGCAGATTAGGTGAAAATGTTGTACGACAAGGAAGCGATTGAGACATGGATTGTTGTCGGACATTTTCAGGGTGTCGTTGGGAAACAATATGGCATATTAAAGAACCACACTCTTTCTCCACCGGCCGAGGGTATGTGGTGTAGGTTCCGCCGTCTTCTCCGGAGTCTTTCTTAGTGTACTTGCCAGTTAGTGTTTGTCCTTGTGACCAGATGTCGAACCACTATTACTCGAGGTGCAACAGTCTACGTGCCAAGGAGATCAGGCAACAATCGGGCGTATCTACCGGTTCTTTGCAGTGCAATGCCGTGTTCCGCCATTGAATACTCTATTACAGGCAGTTTCTAGCGTAGTAAATGGCCATCCATGTTACTTTACATATATCGCAGACAGCCTTATAATAGATAGGTCCTAAAATGAAATGAGAAGTATCAAGAGTAAGAAATAAGTGCTCGTATTTGGGCAAAGAGCAATAGTGTCGCCAGTGGCATACGCTAACCAAAGAGTGACAAATACTTTGCAGGCACTAGTTAGCTATCTGATTTTTCCTCTGAGTACTAGGGTCCAGGTACCTAGGAGCTGAGGAACAGTCGGATATATTTTCCGGGGCTTAGTGAGTGGGCAGGACTCTGGTAGTCAATCCACCTGCATTGCATAAGGCTAAGTAACACTGTATCTTTCCGCCACTACCTACAGTAAAACTGTTCTCATTACCACCTCTTCGGTCAATTTTATTCCACGTCATAAGTAACACCATATTCCCATAAGCTCTCTTGGGATACAATGTATAGCAAGTATCCCGTGGATATGCTCGAATTTGAACGCTTAGCAAGGTAGAAGCAATATTGAACATCTTCAGCCGTTCAGCCGCACGAGTGGGCCGAGTAGCCCAGCGACCTCAATAGTCCGGAGTAATATCTCGGTCTTTGTCATTCCTGCTTGAAAGCCCCCCTCTTTGAGACTGTGGGCGGGGTATCTAATCTCCTGCCATGAGCCCGTTGAAGCCTGCTGCATTTGTTGCCCCCGGGCAGGTTACACTAAGTCCGCTGAGAATGCAGCAGATGCCCGCCACTTACTAGATATGAGGAGATCCTCATCCATGGTTTCTTTTTCCAGTAGAGCAGAAAAGTGTTTTTCTTGAATTTATCAACATACTAGTTCTAATTGTCCTACGGGCCAGATCCAAGTCCTGCTGGTAATGTGAATAACAAACTGAGTAGATATATTGATACTCGATCTGCATCACTGCATGTTAGCGTTTGATGACCGTTTCAGTACAGTACATGATAGATCAATCGACTACAGCGTTGCAATTTGATTTCCTGAGAGTGAGAGACAGTTAAGTAAAGGGAATGTGATGCTAGGCGTTTACTCCACGCTTCAGGAATGTTTCTGGATGATAGTTATAATGAAACTCATTATGTGGGGTAGCCCCCGCGTCAGTTATTACGTTATTTCAATCAATAAGTAGGACTCTACATCTACCCAGTTCCGGTCCTCGTGTTTACTAGGTACTAGCTTGGGGTCTCGGACACCCTACTGAAGATCTACAGAGGGGTTGTTGCAAGTACTTTGAGGGGTATCACAGGGATTTCCACTAAACTCAATCGATACTATGGAATGCACTAGCTTTACGCCTATCTCATACCATTACTATCAACAATATGAAGGTGTCGACTCTTCTTTCTACGGTCCTCTTCACTGCTTTTGCGGCGGCTGCACCTGCAGATCCTACAAATCCCTTGGGTGTCGACCCGAGCAAGGGAGATCTGGTCGGACAGGCAGAGGCACTGCATGTATGGAGCCAAATTCCCACTTATTCCTCCTGTTAAGCACATTGGAATTAACCTTGACTGAAATCAGAACATTTACACCTGTCCTAATGCCCAGGCACTTGCCTGCTGTTCAGCTTGCTCGACTAGCTCTGGTGTGGGGTTCAACATCCCTGCATGGGCTTGTTGCTATGCTTGTGGCTGTTAAAGGGCTGTTCAAGACAGCTAGGTAAAGATCTCACGATCACACCTCTGTTGCAAAGCTCTATGTAGGCCTTTGGGTGGTTTATGGATAGTTCTGGAAGTGATCTGGTTTATTGTGCCTTAGCCCAGATTTTGTCATCAGGTTTTCCTGTGCTTTCATTTAAATGCAAAGGCTCGTGAACAGATCTTGACATTCTAGTTAACGCGGTTAATGGATAATCTAGACCACTACTACTACAAAGAAGTTATGCGATAGGATTCTGTCTGATCAATACATTAGTTCCGTTACTGTTTCACATCTCTGTTTCCGATGTAAAAGAGGCAATGGGATAGAGGACGAAATGGACGTGTCTTTATCCCACCACTCACAATCCTTACTCACTACTTGCATTCTGCCACGATATCCGATATAGCTTAGATTTATGTCCGGTGTGATGACACAAAAAGGACTGAGAAAGTGAGAACCCTGATAGTCAACAGGAAAGGCCCGCTTGGGCCGTCGGGTACCTACGTACTATTATCCATCCGGTACCCCCAATATACAAGCTGATTGGTCCTCGCGGCCACTAGTATGTCTCAATAGAAAATTAAGATATAATGCTATTTGCAAATAGAATGGTATGTATCACTGTGACCTGCCATATGGGCATATAATTTGTATTGATGTGAAAGGAGCTTTTGACACTGTAATTGCAGCGTTGCGGATAGTGCACAGGAACCAGTTGCAGCTAAATGTATTGCCCAATCAAAGTACTTATAGCCCCATGCCGAATGTTACATAGAGATAATTGAATCTAGGCTTTATATACAATGCATTGGATTCAATGAGAGGTTGGACATAAGTCAGTTGCTGAGTGGGACAAGAGGCAGGCTATGTAGCACGGAGATACTTTGTCCTCGGCAGTATCCGAGATAGGGCTGTGATGTAAGATAACCGACCCCAAAGAAGCACAATTAGTCTCTTCATTGGCAGAAGTATACAGTGTGAAAGAATTAGAAATCTCAGCCACTTCTAGTAGTATGTTGGCTGGGCTCAGCTAGTGCATGAGCCTGATTACACTCAACCCTCGAGACCTAACAGCAAAAGAAAGGCATAGATGATGGCACCTTCATCAAGAGTGCGGTAGTGCAATAGGTAAAAATCTATCAAAGGTGGCTTTTCATATCTAATATACGTAAGCAATATCTAAGGATGCAAATGCCACATGCCTTACTGTCGCACTTGGCTTGTGGCAATTTTTCAATCCAGAGAAGCCACATGCCAGCTAACGTAAGATGAGTCGGATCTGACAATCTTACCCGCTCTCAGGTATGTTCATATTTCTTACTTAGCTTGATCTTCCCGAAGCTCCGGTTATAGCGTGATCTACCCACCCAAGTTCTGGAACTATAACCGATATACTGGCACCCATGTACTCCTTGCGGTCGTTGAATAATATTAACACATTGAAACACGCCTTTCCTTCATTGTTACACCCTTCTTTTTTTCCATAGAAGTGCGTTGGTCATGGCCGTTTATTTTGATCTACATTTCCCATGGTGTCTCTTTCTCTGTTTCCAGGTGCTAAAGTCATGGATTCATCGGAAAAGTGCTAGTCTCAGCCATCCTATTTAGTCAGCTAGCACAAGTAATGCTTATAGTTTGGTGATTACACTTGACGATTTCAACATGCTTCGGAACTCATATTAAGCTAGGCAATGTGAGATGTAATATCCGGCAGGTATAGTGGCTGGCTGATCGGTAGCGATATCGGAAGACAGGTCATTTTTGTAGAGTGAAGGCGGGACTAAGAGAAGCGGTTTTATTTCGACCCACCCCAATGGATTGCCTTATTTTAAGCTCAGGTTCCGGTTCAAGTAAGTCTCTTGAGCCCGTTGCCTGAACGTCCTTACTTCTCAGACCATTGAATTCTATTTAAATATGATGATCCTGCACAGTTAGTGCAATGATTGCGAACAGGGACAATAACGGTGAGAATGTTTGCCTACATGAACCTTATTGTCTGTACCGCCACTAACTCCAGCCAGGCTGCGGTGAAGCTCTTCTTCAGAGTAAATGATGATCTTAGATCTAATACCCCACATCAGATTTATTGCAGCAAATTATGCAGAGAGAGGTGCAGCATGCAAGGGCTTGAGGAGGCTGAAACTGACCTCCACCGGTAAGGTGGCTTCCATGAGTCCATGCCTCAAGCCTGTGTCTAGTGATTTGATCACAATATATTCAATCTTTAATGTTCTGATAGCTTGTTTCTATTCCGAATATTCATCGTAATATACGCCATTGATGTTGCTGTGCCACACAGATGCTATATTGTATGAGGAAAAGCAAGGCGAACACGTGTGACCCTTCGAACCTTTGGCATGAAAGCAACCAAATATGCAAAATGTATTGCGTTTCCGTTGAGAACACATCTCAATTAGCATTGGATCAATTTGCTGATTATCAACCCTTATACAACTCTATCGAATAGCTGACTATGAGTTAGATGGCCCAGCAAAGTTCAGCTCTGCCCGGTGGATTAAAGTCGATCATGCAGGTCGCATTTCGATGGTCGCCTTGCTTGGGGCAGTGTCGTGGTCAGAATGGACTATGGATCAGATCATGCTAAATAAGTGTGAAGAAATAGATCGGCTGATTGAGGGAATCCCTTGCCGCTCATTGCGTGGCCATGCTTACTAGTCAGATGAAACGATATCACAGTGGCCTCCTGCCAGGTATTTAAGTCTGGGTACTCACCCCGATTGTATGTTCTCATTGTATTCTCCAGAGTATTCTATCTACAGAACAGCTTTATATCAATCATCATCATGAAGGTCTCATCTGTCCTCTTCACCGTCCTCTTTTCTGCTTTTGCAGTAGCCGCCCCTGATGGCATACTTGGAACAGGCCTTGGTGACAAGCTTGGTGACAACCTTCACGTAAGATCGGTAGGGGACTGAAACCCACGATTTCTATCGCTCACAGTCCTTTGAGCAGATATGCTGATTAGAACTCTCGACAGAATACCGACGCTTCCTTGCCATGCCACGGTGACCACGCAATCAAATGTTACACTACATGCCTTATTAGCGGCGATCCAGTGCACTGCGCCAGACATTGTGGCTGTGAATAGGTGGCTTCAAGGGAACTAAAAGTCTGGGCAACAAACAGACATCTTAACACTCATACGCCATCTTGTTTCTGTATTTACTGATCTGTGTTTTTGTGAATTTGTATATTCCAGTCTGCCTTAGTATGGGTTTTTCCTCGGTAGCGCAGGTTTCCCTATGCTTTTATGCGAATGCAAAGGCTTGATTTGTTATCTTCATAATTCCACGCATCCGACAGTTTATCCTAACGCCCGAATAGAAGATTCGCTATATATTCTAAGCCACGTAGTACGATTAAATAAGCTCCATTGGATTGAGCAACATGCTATTACCATTGTAGACCATGCTAAAAATTCGCTTTGGGTTTCCGAGCTGTATCACCAGCCATATATATCTGATATCTAGATAGATATACTCGATCTCGCATGACAAAGTGACATCTTGCAGCCCAGTCACCTGTCTTGACAGACCCATCTTTGAATACGCAGTCATGCGTCCCATGCACCATAGCAACATTAGAATTAGGGCCGTACGGGAAAACCTGCTTAAGGCGATGCGTGCATTGCTTGGTTGGATTCCAAAGGGCCTTCCTTAGGGTTAATATTCCTATCCAACGATTAATGAATGCATAAAGTCTTAGGGGACTGTTGGATATGATCCTGGCACGCTTACCTTCTCTACCATGAACTTCCTTTCCCCTCATTAATACCGTAGCATCGGGCGTAAAGCATTGTATATATCTCTCGTGCTCATTCGGTGCATCCATCAGGAGATAGAATTCATTCAAAAATCGCTTATAGGCGGGATCGAAGGGTATTAAGGGATAGGCCGGACCCATTTTTGGCCTTTCCAGTGCTGTCGATATAGTCAGTAAGTAGTGATTCGTGAAGTCCAACCAGTATGCTTGCCGTCGCTTGGCAAGATTGCCAGTGCCTCTTGTCGGTATTTCTCATCCAGAAGTATAGCCTCTGCCAGGCTTGTATCGAAGAATGATCTCACTTGAATTATCTTCCTTGTCGCATTGAATTTGCAGTGCCAGCAATAATGCTGTCTGTAAATGCGATTGCCCAGTTTCGTTCGGGTGTTTTTGGTCTTCAACTCAATAGAAAGCCACCCTTCCTTGTTACTCGTTATGCTCTCAGGGGAGGCTATCTCAAATATAGGACCCGGGTCTGATATCAGCCTGACAATAGGCAGCCATACATTATCAAGGAATTGTGACTTCGATCTCCATACTCCCGATAAAGCGCTTTGTCCTGTGATTTCCCAGTGGACATTGTCGTCGACGTGGTTGAAGAATGATTCGTAGCCGCGGGGGACCTTTCCTAATTCTCCGAAAATAGATAGAATTTCATTGTGGGTGAGATATGGCATCTTGACAGGTTGATGGGGAGAGCGTATGGCTGGCCACTGAGTCTCACTTGAGGATATCTTTGTATTTAGGAGGTCAAGGGAAGAGATTAGTAGTGAGCGGTAAGCCCCGATGAGATTCGTAAAACCCAAGCATTCATGTGGTCACAGTTGAAGCCAGCCACATTCCAGGTAAAAGTAAAAATCGCGGATCAATCTTCCGCGATTTAGTCGCTTCAGCTTTGGACCAGGTAAAGACTACTGCGTTCTAGTTATATCTAGGCAATGCAATGCATAAATCTTCAACTATCTCCATATGTCAATCCATGGATGTCTTCTTCTGTTTGAATGGGATGCTGATGGCTTATATCGCGGGGATGATGGTTTCCAAAGCTACGAGTCCATCCAACTGAACTTAATCCGGGCATCTTTCCGAATGACAAAATGACTCGGCTTTGTGGGGATAGCACTTGCACCTATGGAGTTCAGTAATGGTTTGAAGATCGAGTAAGCTAACCAATGAGTGGCGATCACACAAGTAGTTTACAGAACTGAGCAACGGTGTTGGGATCGCAACCCTATACAGCAAAATAATGGGGCGCATCTCCACGCAAGACCCAATCTTGAACTGCTCAAAACCCAACAAAAGCCTTGCTTTGGCAACATGATGTTCGGGGGCATTATTGTTCTCTCACATGTCTAGATAAAGGACGTCTGCGATGTGCAAGTCATACTCATTAGAATCACACTCCACGAGGAAACCGCCAAAGCCTTGTTCTTATTCTTAGACCCTTTCATTGATGGTGGTGTGCATGCCATAACTTCAAGTGGAAGTAATACACTAAGAACATTGCATAAGTGACGCGCCAAAGAACTTTGCAGAGTACTATGACCAGGAAGCTCCATAGAGGCTACAGTGAGTCCTCGGAAAAGACTTCCTCTCGACTGTCTAGGCCGGATTTCGGGAAACAAAGTTCAGCATGGCATGGATCTGCACTTCCCAGAGATTCCGAATGGCAACGCACAAGACTTTATCAGAAGGGAACTAGAGGAAGATCAGGCTTCTTTATTGGGCTGGAGAAATTTGGCGTAGCTTAGCTGATCCTCCGCGGAGCCATCAAGAATCGAAACTTATAAAGGCTACATCAATGATTTCATGACTTCCTACAATCTCTGAACCAACACTCCATTGCCTCCATGGCCGGATATGGCAACGCATGATGTCAAAGTCCAACGAGTTTTGCCAGCCTAAGTCCTACCGTGTGGAGATCCGACATTATGCCTTGAGCCAACTTGCAGAAACAGTGAACTGGTATGCTTATAAGCAACTAGTAGCTCCACCGTTGAGAATGCTGTCCTTGCTTTGTTTCTTCAGACGATCATGTCAATATCTATTCATACAGTAACCATTCTGACACATAAGACATTCTTCACCACAACTGATTGCTTATCCCTCTAATATGGAGACCATCTCGGAACGACTTCCTGTTTACTTCCACTGGGCACCACTATTCATCCTCGCTCTACCTTTCTTCAACTACATCATAGGAGTTACCAAAGCCATCAAGTCCCCTCTTTCACGAATCCCCGGGCCATGGTATGCTCCCTTGACAACATTACACTTAAACTATGCGTTCGCAAAAGGAACGATATGGAAAGCTGTGGAGAGATCCCACGCAAAATACGGTCCTATTTTCCGCCTCGGGCCGCGACAAGTGTGGATATCAGATAAAGAAGCCATCAAGGCCATCCTTATGACAGTTGATCTGCCAAAGGTCACAATGTATGCAGAAATATCCAGAGATCGAAGCAGCCCTGGGTTGTTTGGGGAGATGTAAGCGCCCTACTGTATGGGTATGGAGGAAAGCAGTTGGCAAGAATGAGTTACTGATCTCATCTTAGTCGACCAGATCCACATAAGCGACTTAAGAAGTTTTTATCTCCAGCATTCACAATCGCATATGTTGATGGGCTTGAGTTCCTCTTCTCGGAATGTGTGGGTGACCTTATCAATCGATACGTGGATTTGTTATCATCTCCGACGTCAAGGGGACAAAAGGAGCTGGTAGTTACGGACCTTATGCAAGACCTTCATAGCCTGGCACTTGACATGTAAGTGTACCATGGCAAACTGGAACCCAACAAGGATATTCTGTGTTTGTTGACATTATCGATAATAAGCATGGGAGAATGTTCCTTTGGCAACGGATTCGGACAGACGAACAAAAACAAGAAACTGGAACTTGAATTTGATGAAGGCATATGGCGGTCGATCCCAACGGCTATCTTTAAAGGGATGACTCGCAGATATCAGGTAATATACAATATTTCTGCTTAGTGAACCAAGTGAGCAACATGATAACGCAGAATTAGTTTGTTTATATCAAGCGCCTTCTAAGAAGGCTTGGTCTGAACATCGAATTTGACTGGCCACGAGAGATGATTGCTGTACTTACATCCCGTGAATAATCCCCAAGGATGAGCAAATTAACTGACAATCAAATAGGCCATTTCCGCCGTGGCAGGCCATAGAAAAGCAAAACCTAAGAGTGTTCGCCCCGATCTTCTCCAACACTTGCTCGAGAACGGCGAAAGGCCAGACAGCGGAGTCAAAATGGGGACCAGGGAGGTTGTCGATCAGATGGCCGAGATATTATTAGCCGGGTCCGAAACCACGTCGGGAACGATCGCTTGCTTCTTCCTCGAAATCTTACGCAATCCGGAAATGAAGGAGAGATTGTTGAAAAGTCTACCGGCGCTTAGACCAAGTGACCCAATCATCTCGAGCAAGGCTGTCCGAACGTCTCCTGAGTACGAGTACCTGGAGGCATGCATCAAAGAAGTGCTCCGATTACATCCAATAGCATCTGAAATGGGCCGTCGGACTGGAAACACTCCGATAAATACAATGGGATACTATCTCCCTGCCCACACGATCGTCTCTGCGTCTTATAGGCAGCTTCATCGAGATCCGAAATACTGGGTTGACCCTCTGCGCTTTTGGCCTGAGAGGTGGCTGGATCCTCGGCCTTCTGATGTGCCTGCACCTGAGTAGGTCGATACTATTGTCGTTGGGCGATAAGGTGGGGTGCTAACAGTCCGTTTTTAGCATGCACGCTTACTATCCATTTTCTGCTGGGAAGCACTCTTGTATTGGCAAGAAGTACGTTTCTATCCTTTGGTTTTTTTTTTTTTTTTTTTTTTTTTTTTTTTTTTTTTTTTTTTTTTTTTTTTTT